GGCGTGGAGGTGAACGCCGCGCTGATTGCCCCTGAGGCCGAGGGGAGTTTCAAGGCCGCATGGCCCACAGTCGCCAAGCTTTCTGGGAGCAAGGGGAAGAACATGCTCAATTACTCCAGCTTCTACAATAATTTCGACGTGGAGGATAGCACTGACGATGACTCCATCACTTCCCTCGGCGAAGTTCAGCATGCCGCATTTTTGCTATACTGGCTATGCAAGTTCGTGTTCTGCACACAGGCAAATAAGGTGACTTTGGAGTTCGCCCACCTGGCCGATTACCTTGCGCAAGGCGAAAGGCTGGCGCTTGGCCCATTCCTCCTCGGCCATATCTAACGCACGCTTCACGACGTCGTTACAGACGGGATGAAGCTGAAGCACGGCGGTCCACTCTGGGCCTTCCAGTTCTGGCTCCAGGCCTACTTCCCAGAATTGAGGGGAATGGCTACGTTCGCCGATACCGAGCCGCTGGCCAATGCATTCGCCCGGTCCCCCAGAAAGCATAACACAACGGCCTTTTGCTTTAAATTTTTCTATGACTTGACCGAGAGGACTGGGTCACAATTTCGGGTGTGCCTCACTCGACCCTTTCCTCTATTCTTGGCGCAAGACCTCTCTGTAGTTCCTGATGGCAAGAAGGAGAATGATTTGAAGGAGATCTGGGGCTCCTTCTTGGTCGCGCGCGACCTTCACTGATGTCTCTCCAAGGCTGGGGCCAAGGTTTACCTACCGAATTTTGTGGCGAGGCAGTTCGGTCTGATCCAAACGGCTGGCCCCGCTTCCCCCGCTGTCGACCAACCGGCTCTCGTCTTGGAGGGCCGACGTTGGTCAAAATCACAGCGTGGCCGGTATCACTTTTCTCACACTGCAGCCATGGAGACATTTCAATGCGGTGGACGAGGATGGGAGGACTTGGTATGAGAACAATATCTCAGCCAAGTTCGTTCGGCCCGTTGAAGAGGCCGTGACGGTGGCCCTGAAGAATGCAGATTGGGACCCCCTCCCTCCTAAGACCAGCAGGGGAAAGAAGGCACCCACCGTGCTTTCTCGATCGAGTGTCCAGGCTGTAGCTATGTCAAGAGCGTCGGCCCCCGCATCAACCACGGTCCCGGCTTTCAGGGCGACGGCTGCAGTGGCAATGCCAAGGACCTTGGCGCTCAGGACCGAGCGTTGCTATTGGTAAGTACTTGTCCTTTTGCGTGACTCTGTTTGTCTTTATAACTCAAGGCCGCAAGAGGGTTAGAGAGGTTGCGGCCATCAAGGCTTCTTGTGAAGCGGGGGCAGTAGAAGCCGCGGCCGATGCAAGTGAAGAAAAGGCTGAGGGGGAGGTCGTGGAGCCGCCGAGGAAAAGGCTCCTCCTCGTTCTCTCAGAAGGGGAAGAGGAGGAAGCCCCTTTTGCGTCAGTAAGTGAATGCCTTTATTCCTTCCTATTTGCCTCATGCTACATCCTTTTAACACTTTGATAACTTGGTTCTTTTCTCAGGGCGGGGTGCCGGACGCCGAAGTCGTCGCTGCGGAGGCGCCAGATGCTGAGGCAGTTGTGGCAGAGCCATTACCGGTTGCCTTGGCAGGGGCTTCATCAATCGTCCCCGGTCGTCCCCCGTCGCCCTAGTGGCATTGTGATTCACTCGGTAAGTGTTTGTCCTTATCATAACAAGTTAGTGTCTTTTTAGATTTCACTGCACATCTCTTCCTTCGTCCACGACCATCATTACACCGAGCCCGCCAGCCGCTTCGGCCGTTGTGTCTATGCCACAAATACCTCCGTCCCAGGACTCGACGGTCGTGGCCGAGCTTGCGGTAGATGAGGCTACAACTGTTAATCTACCGAGCCCACCACCGGTCGCTTCGGTGGCTGTGCAGCAAATGCTTCTGACTCAACATTCAGCGGTCGTGACCTAGTCCGTGGTGGTTGAGGCCTCCATCGTGCCACCGGCTGCCGAGGTAAACGCCCTTTTGATTGCCTTCTCTCTTGACCTAATTGGCCGCCCTATACTTAACTATTTTACTTTCTCAGGAGCCCGCCTCTTCTGACGATCTTACTGACCTGTACGCTAGTCTTCATGAGGAAGGAGGCAACTCGGCCTCGGCCACCCCCTTGGACGATGATTCTAAAGCTACCATTGAGCGGCTTCTGGATTTTCTGCATTTGAGGGTCCATCACATGACCAACGTCGAAACTTTTATGGAGTTTAGGTCTTGTCTGGACACGGCCATGGCTCTTGGCCTACTAGATTCGGCTCAATTGGACGAGCTACAAGTTTGCTTTGCCGAGGGTGAAGAAATGATCATCCGGTATGCCGAAGCCGAGATGAGGATGACCGAAGGTTGCTCGCTGGAACAAGAACTGGCGGAGATAAAGTAACAGGCCCAACCTTCTATGTCTCAATTGAAGGAAAACGACCTTATTGTTCAAAGGGAGAATGAAGAGCTTGCGCAGGTTGAGGCCCAGATTGCTGAGCTCGAAGCCCGCCGCAAACTCATCCTCGGGCGCTGAATTGAAGTCTTCGGCCAAGTAGCTCCTAAAGGCGGCGGCCGAGAAGAAGATGGCGCTGGCCGAGAGAAAGCTGATCACGGCGAGGTGGCTAGCGGACATGGATAGTGGGGACATTGCCTGGAGAAGGATCACCTGCCTGATTTGGGCAATGTGCAACGAGGGGATCTAAGTGCTTGTACATAGACTTCTTTCTTTATATTTTTAACTCGGCCTTTAACTGGCTTAAATGAAGTAAATATCTTTTTCTTCGAATGATTGAATGTACGCATCTCCTTTCAATTTTATCAAACTGTTATCCAATTTGTTTGCTTACTGCAACCTTCATCCCTCCATCTTGGCCGTCTCCCATAACGATGGCACCCCGGCCAAGAATTTGTTCAATGATAAATGGCCCTTCCCAATTCGGCGAGAACTTGCCGAACCGTGGATCTTTAGTCCCAATAGGAAGTATGGCGCACCATACCAGGTCGCCTTCGGCAAAAGTCCTTTGCTTGACTCTTTTAATGTACGCTCTTGCCGTGATTCCCTTCTGAGCTTGCATTAGATTGTATGCATCAAGTCTTGTTTGTTCGAAATCTTCCAATTCTTGGGTCATGGCTTGCACATAGTCCTTCCTATCTTGCCTAGGCCGCTAGGTAACACGAAGAGACCGAACCTTTAACTCCATTGGAACGATAGCGTCATGGCCGTACGTTAAGGCGTAGGGAGACGTGCCAGTAGTCGAGCATTTTGAGGTTCGGTAAGCCCAAAGAGTTTCAGGGAGCAAATCGTGCCAAGCCCTAGGTTTTTCTTTACTCGTCTTTTCAAGGATGCCCTTGATTACCTTATTGCTTGCCTCGGCTTGTCCGTTGGACTGGGGGTAGTAAGGCGTCGAATGAACCAATTTGATTCCCATCCTCTCGGCATACTCCTGGGTTTCGGCCGAAGCGAAGACCGGGCCGTTATCGGCCGTGATAGTCTCAGGAATACCGAATCTGTGGACAATGTGGTTTTCAAAGAATTTGACTGCCTGCGCACTAGAGATTGACCGATAGAACTCCACCTCGACCCACTTAGTAAAATAGTCGGTTGCCACCAGAATCCATGCGTAATGGTTGGACGCAGCCGGATAGATTTTGCCAATGATATTCACGGCCCACCCTCTGAACGGCCACGGTTTGGTAACCGGGTGCCGGTACCCTTTGTATGGGGCCGTAGATCTGACATTTAATGCACCATCTTGCATACTCAATGCAGTCTTTCAAAATGGTCGGCCAATAGTAACCGTGCCTTTGAACCAACCATCTCATCTTGATGCCGGACTAATGAGCACCGCAAGACGGACTAATGAGCACCGCAAATCCCTTCGTGAGACCCGGTCATGATCACCTGAATGCTCTCGGCACTGGGACATAGGAGCAATAGGCCGTCTGATCCCTTTCAATACAGCTCGTTTTGGTAGATCAAATAACACCGACTCGAAAGCGCGTAGTCTTTTCATGGTTACCGGAGGGGTCACGCAAATACTTGACTACAAGGTATCGCTAGTCTGCCTCGGCCGTTTTAACTTCGTTGGTGATTTCGGCCGAGGATACTTGCGCCATCATTCCTCGTTCAGCCAAAGCCAGCAGGTTGCATCTCTCAATTTTTATTACGCGGTCGTGGTCGCCGTCAGGAATGTTCACACCCGACGCCACATGGATGAAAGAAATTCTAGAAAACTTGTCGGCCGTGTTGTGGGCCATCACGCAATACGTAGTCAGATTCTCGCTCGTGCATTGATATTCCCCAGTTAGCTGGTTGATCACCAACTGAGAATCGCCGTAAACCAAAACGCGAGTTGCCTTCATTTCCTTCAGAATTTCGAGGCCGATGATGAGTGCCTCATACTCGGCCTGATTATTGGTGCATTTGAAATCATGCTGGAATGCAAACTGCCATCTCTGCCCCTAAGGGGATTGTCTGCCGCGCAAATCTCACGGCCTGGAGTTCCGGGCCGAGGGGATGTGCGTTAACACGGGGTTTCCTGCTTTTGGGTGCGGTGCGGTTGTGCGCGGGCGTGCCAGCACGGTTTACCGTGCGTTGATGTTTCGATGAGTTTTGGATGGATGAATGGTGCGCCTGTTTGATCTGTCTTCCTAGCCAAACGATTGTAGCCGAGAGAGGAACTGGTCTCGGCTGTTAGGTTCACGGCCTGAACTACAAGGCCGTCGAGTGATGGTGTTGGTGGTGGATTTTGGGCAGTGCTCCGGCGCGCTGCTCAGGGAGCGACGGTCGTGTGATATATGGGGTGAGTGAACGAACAACAAGGATGTTGCTCCGGCGCCTTGAAAATCAAAGGTCGTATGATATATTGATGAATGGATTCTGCTTACAA